GTGGCATCGCCCGTAGCTGGGTTTTGCAGCGTGTTATGCTGCTAAAAAGGTTTTTGCTGGATTCCAGTTGTCCCATGGAGGAGCAGCCGGAGCAGCAGCCACGCGTTTGCTGCCCAGCAGTGAGGAAAGCGGTGTGACCAGCCGCCAAGCTGGAGTCCTAAAATGCCTGTTGGTAGGTTGGTGTGAGAATTTGGGCTGGTCCAAGGGGCACGCCGGAGCAGCAGCCACGCGTTTGCTGCCCAGCAGTGAGGAAAGCGGTGTGACCAGCCGCCAAGCTGGAGTCCTAAAATGCCTGTTGGTAGGTTGGTGTGAGAATTTGGGCTGGTCCAAGGGGCACTCGGGCCCCTTCCCAGGAAGCGCCAGGTGTGGATTTGGGACGGGGTGCCGACCGATGAGCTAGAGGCATCCTCACGGTGAGGCATCTCTGGGAAAAGATACCTGCATCTCGTCACGGGACCAATTTTTCCCTTTTAGTTAAAGCGGTATGATGCAGAAAACGTTGGGAGATTTTGGATGAGATGCTTGAACCAAGCAGCACCTCTTTAACTTAATTAAATACGTTGAAAACGGCAGTTGAATTCCTGGATTTTTATGATGCCGATGGGTGAAAGAAATCCAATTATTTTCAGGATGGCTGCATGGCTGTAACCAGCTGACCCAGCCACCCTGACATATGTTGTGTAATTTATTTGGAGTACTCTTCACCTTTGAGCTAGCTCTCGTGGGGAAAATCATTCAGGTAACCCAGATTTTACTAGCAACCATATTAAAGATTTTAAGAATGAAGGCTGTTCCGCTGGCAGGTGAGCCGCTCCTGCAGCTGTGGTGTCAGAGAAATCCTCTGAAGCAGCTCACAGCTCCAGACACTCGGGTTGTTGCTTTTTTTAATATCCTCTTTCTAAATATTTTGAGGGTTTGGGGTTTTATTTATTTATTTATTCCCCCCCCCCCACTTTCCCCTTCAGATCTTCTCTCTTTTCCAGGATACCGTTCAAGATCGGGCAGCCCAAGAAACAGATTGTACCCAAGACAGTGAGTAAACCGGTTCCCCCTTTTTAGATCCAGCCTTCGATCATGTGGCTGATGAGTCAGGCCGGCACTTTGACTCGTCCCATTTTGCGAGCGTGCGCGCGCGCGTGGGAGGGAGAAGTGAGCGAGCAGAACCTGTTGCCGCGTGTGACCAGCGCTCGGCTCCTCGTGCGAGGAGTGAGGGGGAGCCCCAGCCAGGCAGAGTATTTTTTGGGATCTGTTTCTTATTTTTTGGGGGGGGTGGGGGGGATGAGGGGAAGAGCTCTTTTGGTCTGGCACAGTTTTCCTCGGAGATGGCTGAACGGGCTTCCTTCCTTCCTTCCTTCGTTCAGCAATGGCTTGTTTGTTCATCCTTTCTGAGCAGATGGAGGAGGAGGAGTGGTTCAGATCGCTGAATATAACTGTTTCCAAAGAAAGGCTTATAAGCTGAGATGCTTAGTGCTCGGGCGTGAATTAATTTGTGCTGCACAGCATTTGCTTTAAAAGCAAATTAAAAAAGCATTTTGTATTCTCGTGGATTTGAGACTCCTATCCCAAGTGCTGTTGCTTGCAGCTGGCTGTGGTATTTTCCCTTCTTAAGCAGATGGTCTTTGCCTTTGTCCCGTGCAGAAAAAAGCCGTGGCACCTCACAGTAGCTGTCCCTGAAAACTAACCTGCATACCTGCTCTAAAATAAGCGCCTCGGCAGCGAGCGCGGTGGAGACCTTGTCTTTATAACGGCATTGGTGACCTAATCCCTTGAACAGACGAACATCTCTGATCCTTCCTCTCTGGGACGCTCATCGCAGCTAATTCCTCAGGATGCGTGGGCACTCGTGTTTACGGGGCAGTTTCTCCTTGGGACATGACATTTTCCCCTGGAGGCAGAGGGCTAATTCTGCCACTCCCTTCACGGCTTGATTGTCATGTTTTATTTTAAAGGATTTGGTAGTTGTCTGCTGCCGTAGAGCAGCAATTTTCTGTAACGGCTCCAAACTGTCAGTACAAAATTTCAGCCAGGCAGGCGATGAAGACAAGGACTGATAAAATCCCTCGATGGTTGTTCTCTTCATCTCTTCGTCTCTTCAGCTGCCCCGTTCCCAGCGATGGCGACCAGCCGGCGGAAGGACCGGCTGGCGGCGGGCGCCCGGGGGG